GGCCAGGGGCCCCATCAAGAAAGTAGAGAATTCTCTAGAGGACCTAGTTTGCAGGCTTGACCTAGTCATTGAGGTGGAGTAGGTAGGAAGGGGGTGCCTGTCCATGCAGGCCCAGGACTAATCCCCTGAGATTCTGGGAAGTCAGGCCTCTAACTGCCCATCCAGGAGCCCAGCTCAGAGCAGAGTATGGAGGCAGAGCTCAAGCCTGCACCTGCTGCAGCTCCCCATCCTGGGCCAGCTCCCCACAGGCTGTCCAGAGCTCACTCCAGAGGCAGCCAGGAGAACGGTGTACTGATGACAGGAGTGGTGACACCCCTTTCAGTAGGTTCCCAATCCCAGAGCTTCTTGGAGATCTTTCCAGCTGGTGCTGCCCCTGGCCATGGGTGGGGTGACAGGTAGCCTGGACCATCATCTAGTCCTCTCTTCCGAGACTCTCAGCCCCAGCCCCAGGCAGCCCTATGAACCACATAACTGACTCTCTCCATTCCTACCCTCTGATCCTGTAAGTCACTGCAGGCCCAGGGGGTCAGGGGAAAGAGACGGAGGCATTGTTTTTAGGAGGGAAGCCCTATTGTGAGCGCTCTCCTTACTGGACCACCTCTTCTTCACACCCATCCTTTCTCCAGTTATCCCACTCCAAAAAGCAGACTCCAACCCCCACAAGAGCCCTGGCTGACCATTCTCCGAGCCTACTACTGTCCATTACCACTTGAAAAATCCCTTCATTTCAGAGTCTGGGCTTGGCCTGCTGGCTGTTGAGTTCTAACATGGTGATTCTAAAATGCAACCTTAACTTGTCAACCACTACGGGTGCCAAAGCCATGTGTAAAAACAAAGTCAGCCCTGGCCAGTATGGCTCAGTTGTATGGGCGTCATTCCATGCACTGAAAGGTTGCCAGTTCAACACCCAGGGCACATTCTCAGTTTGTGGGTTCAATCCCTGGTTTGGGGCATTCAAGAGGCAGCCGATAAATATTTAATTCTAACATCAATGTTTCTCTCTCTCTCTCTCTCTCTCTCTCTCTCTCTTTCTCTCTCTCTCTCTCCCCTCCTCTCTCTCAAAAAATCAGTTTAAAAAAAATTTAAAAAAGAACAAAAGCAAGAAAAAACATTGCCAGGGGTAATGGTTTGAAAGAAAGGCCTGGAAGCCAGGACATCCTCAGCATTCACAGAAGAGTGGGAGCCATCCCACAACAGTCTAATAGGCAACCTCCTGCAGCACACAGGGGAAACCAGCCAGCAGCAACAAGCTCCAGCACTCAGACAGCAACATCTCACCCTTGACCTTCACCCCAGCCTCTTGGCGACGCTGAGTGGTTTAATAATAAATCCCCTGGTGTGCAAAAGAAACAGAAATAGCTTCGCCAGGCGCCGCAGACCAGCGCAGCACAGTTTATGAAATCGTGGGGCTCTAATGCTCCCAGTCTCCCAAGTTTCCATTAAACAGATGCCAAATGGCCCTACGGTGGCAGGAAAGGCACCCTTGCCTTGCCTCTCTCCGTCTCTCCCCAGATAGGCTGGCGGGGAAAGGAGGGTGTGTCACTCAGTGGCCATGTAATGGAAAAGAGGTTGCCCTGGGGTCCCAGCCCCGTGACCTCTGCTTGTCAACGCCAACCTCTGAGCCCCTTTATAATCTTTTTCGAGACTTAAATGTGTGGGTACACAAAGCTCCCTTAATGGAAGGTCGCTCTGGCTTGTGTAAAAAGCTGTGTAAACTTCATCTCTGCATTTACTTAGCTCCAAGCCTTGTTTAATTTCCTGCCCGGGGATATTCGGAGAACATGACTACCCTCTAGGGCCTCTGAAATCTTTCAGAAAAAAAACAGTGCCCTCCCCACTTTGGAACCAAAAGACCCCCCACAGAAAGGCAAGATACCTCCTCCAACTTGACCAAAAGGGGAGGCAGTTTAACCAAGTGCCCTCTGCTGAGTTTCCCATTATTAAGAGGAGGGACAAGCACGGCTACAGAACCCGAGGCTCTCTTGCACCATGGCCTGGCTGTGTGACCTTGGCAAGTGCCACCATTTCTCAAGGTTCCAGCTTCCTCGTTGGGAAAATGGGGCAGATAACAGTGCCCATCTCACAGGTTGCTGTGAGGAAAAAGATCGTGCAGAGGCCCAAGCTAACGCTCAGCCTGTGGGAAGAGGTCCACGAATGGCAGCTGCTGGAACAGCTCTGCCATTGGAGGCAGCCATGGCAGCGGCTGAGTGCGTGGACTCTGGAGCCTGGCTGTCTAGGTTCAAGTCCCAGCTCCACCCATGCACAGGCTGCAAGACCTTGCATGTGTTACTTCTGCAAAATTCAATATGATGATGAAAAGCAGCAGCTTTGGGGGAAAAATGAGCAGCGCACGTGACTCCAGGTTCACAGATTTCCCCTCCTAAACCCCAACACGAGCAATGGAGTTGCAGGAACCCCTCTCACCATCCACACCAAATCCTTCACAGACTCTCCCTGCTCCATACCCATTTCCTGAATGCTCACAGCAAGTTTCCAGAACAAGACCAGAAATCACCTACCACAAACCCCCATTTTATAGCCCGAGATTCCACTGAGGACCTCCCTACTGAGCTGCCCAGGCTTCCTGCTACCACCTAGTGTCATACTTGACCTCATAGGTGGCCTGCAGAGGAAGTGGAGACAGAGGAAGTGTTACTCCCCATGCAGATACAAGGAGGAAATTCTAGGCCAGACTCCAACCAAGCCCTGCCGTTAAGCCTCACCAGGATCCAGGGAGTTACTGACAGCCCAGGTTCCACCTGGATAAACTCCCCTCCATCCAACCCCCAGGCTGACCCTCCCAGTGGCTGACAGTGTTGGTCAGGAGGCCTGTTTTGGTTTCACATCATATTGCCTGGGGTCCTCCTGGCTAAGCAAAATGCTGTCCAAAATAGGTCAGGCCTTCAGAGAAAGGCACACGTCCGAGTGGCCCACATCCATGACTGCTGCGTCGCCGCTCCGTGGCAGCTGTCCTGTCCTCTTGGAGTCAGCGCTCCCATCTGGAAAAGGGAGGGTTGACCTAAGCAGCAACCAGGCACAGGGACTCAGGGTCTGATGCCCCTGGAACATACTGGCTCCCCACAACCAAGGAGTGCAGAGGGGCAGTGCTGAGTCCTGCCAGGTCCTGCAGCCCACGCCATCCACACACACAGCCCCCTCCCAGTCTAGGGAGGCCCTCAGACGCCCGTCCATGGGATTAAGAGGAAAACACTGCAGAGAGCCTCTGGAGCACATCTGCACCTCACTCAGCCAGCAGTCAGACACTCTGCAGGGGCAGGACTTGGAACACAATTTCAATGTCAGACAAAGAGCTCACAGCGGTGTTTGTCCTGGGCTGAGCTGAGATTTGTGGGAATGAGCTGTGGTCAAAACTGGCCTTGCACAGCTTAGTTGTTCACGTCACCCAGGTGGCTGAGTGTAAGGTGCAGAGAGGGAGAGGGGGATAGCTAACTCTTCTTCAGCCAGTGCTCACCAAGCACTCCCCATGCACTGCACCTCCTGACAGGGGAAGGAAGATAGCTGTGAATTTGGCTGACCTTGTAGGGCTCTCAGACAAGTGACCAGGCAACAAACTGGGACTAGGCTGGGGTGAGGTGCCTAGGGTGCCACGTGGAAGGAGGCACACTCATTCTTGACTGCACCTGCAGGACCTTTTCCAGTTTAATGCCCTGGGCTTCTCACCTGCCTCTCCTTAATTCTGCCCCTGTGAGACAGTGACAGTCCAGGGTGGTCTTTCTTTCTTTCTTCCTTTCTTTCTTGAATTAGAGAGAAAGAGGAAAGGAGGGAGGAACCATGAGAGGGAAGGAAGAAAAGAAGGAGGAATGAAGGGAGGGAGGGAAGGAAGGAGGGAGGAAGGAAAAAACACTGATCTGTTTTTCCATTTATTTATGCTTTCACTGGTTGATTCTTTTTAAAAAAATATAATTTATTTATTTTTTACAGAGAGGAAGGGAGAAGGATAGAGAGTTAGAAACATCAATGAGAGAGAAACATCGATCAGCTGCCGCCTGCACACCCCCTACTGGAGATGTGCCCGCAACCAAGGTACATGCCCTTCACTGGAATCAAACCTGGGACCCTTCAGTCTGCAGGCTGACGCTCTATCCACTGAGCCAAACCAGGTAGGGCTCACTGATTGATTCTTGTATGTGCCCTGACCAGGAATCAAACCCACAAAACTTGGCAAGAAGCTATGCTATAACCAACTGAGCTACCCAGCCAGGGCCTGTTGGTGTTTCTTGAGAAGTGCAGGGGTGGTGGTGGCCAGGGCACTGGTTCCCATTCTAGTCTGGGAGGATTGGAAGGTTTCTCAGAGGAAGTGAGGAATTTAGATTCCTGGAAAAAGAGACTGCCCTCCTTGCTTCCTCCCTTAGTCCTGCTGACTGCTCACCTCTGTCCTGGCCACCAAGCCTAAGCCAGGGCTGCCGAGAGCAGGTGGGCCATTGCCAGCATCACACCTTCTCTTGTCCCTTTTTCGGAACTGGCCAGCCCAGGGAGCTGAGTGAATGAAATCCTGGTGTGAGGAGCACATGTACCCTCAAGACACAGCAGAGAGTTGCCTGGGCCCACCAAAGCTGTCCCATCTTGCCTGGGAGTGTCCCTGGCTTCCCCTGGAGGCTGTGTGCCCTGCCGGAGAGAACCAGCAGCCAGAGGGGCTCTGCAAACCAGGCTTGGCTGGCAGGGAGAATGGCAAGGAGGATAAGGAAAGCAGGTGCCCATGCCTGGCTGAACCTTGTCTCCCATTCAGCTTGCTGTCCACAACTGTCTGCTTTGTGTGCCTCTGTTGATAGATCTGTACCCGTTTCTTTATCTGTCAGTCTTTCAGTGACCCGGTGTGTCCCTCAGTGAGTGTTGTGAGGTTGGGCAGGAGCAGTCACAGCCCTGTCCCATCTCACCCTCATTGGTTCTCAGCGGCTCCCAGGGGACAGCCTCTGTCAGTCCCGCCTCCACCCAACCTGAGCTTGCTCAGAGCCGCCTCAGCGCTCAGTCTGCTCAAGACCAGAGCGCAGCAGCCCAGGCAAGTGGGACAGGTTCACCGCACACTCGGCGTCCGGACAGGGACCGGAGGCTGCAAGGGCGGGAGGCGGCAGCGCCGGACAACTCCCAGCTTCGCCCTCGGTGCATCCCGACGGCACCCAGCAGGGACCCGCGCTGCAGCCGCTGCAGCCCACAGGCGCCCCGGAGCGCGAGCGCGGAGCTCACCGGAGCTGGGGGTTCGAGCCCTGAGGGTGATTTGGCACCGCGAGTGGTGACGGCGAGACACAGGGAAAGCCCAAGGGGCGCGGGCACGGAGCTGTCCAGCTGACACCCCGGGGGTCCTCCACCTCACCGGGAGGAAAGCTGAGCTCGGAGGCACCGGAGTGGCCGCGGCCCGGGCGCCCCGACTCCCGGTCAGTCGCGCGCAGCGGGGCGGGGCGGGGGGGCAGGACGCGCCATGGAGGCGCGGGGCAGCGCCAGTCCTCGCGAGGCGCAGTGAGCGAGTTGGCCAGGGACCCGCGGGCCATGTACGGGGACGTGTTTAACGCCACCGGCGGCCTCGAGGCGGAGGTGGGTGGCGCGCTGGCTTTGGCGGCCACGGTCAAGGCGGAGGGCGCTCTGCCGCTGGAGCTGGCCACCGCGCGCGGCGTGCGGGACGGCGCGGCCGCGAAGCCCGACCTGCCCACCTACCTGCTCCTCTTCTTCCTGCTGCTGCTCTCCGTGGCGCTTGTCGTCCTCTTCATCGGCTGCCAGCTGCGCCACTCGGCCTTCCCCGCGCTGCTCCACGACCGCTCGCTGCGCGACGCCCGCGCGCCCTGGAAGACTCGGCCGGTGTAAGGGCTCAGCAAGCCGGGCCGGCGGCCTCCGGGTTCGCGTCTCGCTACCAGCAGTCGGTGTGAGCCGAGCAGGGCGGACCTGACCTCAGGGGTTCGATGGACCTGACCTTTGCGGGTCGCCAGACCCAAGACCCTTCCCGACCTCGAGCGGCAACCTGGGCGTAAAGGAAGTCGGGCTGCCTAGGTTGCCGCCCTAGTAGCCCTGGGGTACCGAGGTTCTGACCCCCTGGCAGAGCCTTTCTTCCCAGGGACAGCGGGTCCAGCTGGGACATTCCTGAGAGAAGGCGCACCGCCGGCTGACTTCCTCACTTTGCGCACGGAAGGGGCAGGCACAGAGCGCAGGCCACTAGGACCTGAGTGTGAACTCAGCTTGACTTTGTGAAATGATGGCCCTCGGGGACCGTGTGCCCCAGGAGACGCGGAGTTTCCCTGGGTCCCGCCTAGGGGCCGGAGGACCCAGCTTTTCCTGCGGGCACGGATGGAGGGGAAGCCGGTCTAGAGGCACAGGGTCCCGCCGGCAGCAATCTGTAGTGGGAATCCACGTCCCACATCTCCAGGGGCCGCATTTCTACAATAAAACCTCACCGAATTAGACCCAGTGCTGAGAACGCTCTGGTCTGTCTTTGCGCCACTTTGGAAAGCGGGATGGGGGCTGGGCACTCTTATGAGCATCCTGAGAGCCAAGTGCTGCCGCCTCCTGCCTTGCTGTGGTGTGGCCCAGGTCAGTTTCAATGCAGCTTTCCCCCTGGGTCGGTCAGTTACTTGCTCTGGGAAGTGTTTTTAGAACAGGACTCAAAGAGGAATTGCTGCCTCTTCTGCTGGGGGAAAAAACAATTGCCCTGAAAGGGGGCTCCGTGGCAACTTTTCCTTCCCTGTCCTCTCCTTTCCTCCCTGGGCCTGAACCCTTCTAAGAGCTATTTCTGGATCAGAATCAGGTGGTGAAGGAAGGGCCTAAGGGTCAGGTGATGGGGACAGCGAGGCAGGATTTCTTCCCAAATGAGGCAGGAGGCCAGCTCTAGGGAGCACAGCAGAAAGCAACAGATGAGTAAACCCTGCCAGGAGACAATCTCAAAGAGCCTGAGAGGGAAAAGTTGTGATAACCTTGACTTTTCAAAGTGAGCCTAATTCTAGGGAGTTTCTGGGCATTTGAAATCGTTTCAGGAGTCTCCTGGCTCTGGGGCACTAGAGCTGAATGTTTGACTGAAAACTGATTTGGTAGATTATCTAATCCAGTGTCCTAAACCATCTGGGGTCACTTGTGTGTTGAGAACCTGAAGAATGCTGAGGATACTTGACTCTGGCAGAATGCACACAGGCACACAATTCTACACACCTTTGTACAACCCTTTGGAAAGGGTTGTCAGAAACCTATCTAAGGACCCAGGCTAAGTCTGGGAAATGTGTGCTAGGGCTGGAGTCTCAGGCCAGAGCTCCTCACCACTTCCCACTTGTGTCTAAGAGTCCCTCCTGTCAACAGATATGAGCAGAAGACATTTCACCTTGGGCTTAATTATTTGTTTTGGAGAGCTAACACCAGCCAAGTCCTAATGGTGCTAATCCTGTGATAACTCACAGAACATTTTAGTTTAGTCTTTGGAAATGACACCAGATCTCTCCAGGCTATACAGCAAGGTTAACTCAGCGAATCTGTGTGAACCTTGGAATAAACGTAAGGAGTTATGAGGAACCCTGGCTGGCATAATGAAGTCACACAATGCTGCTATGGGGGATTGATCTGGGGGCTGGGTCGGGGGTTAGGATATTAATGTAGAGGCAGAGTGTTTCTCTTCCACATCTCCCCATGGACAGACCTGAAGGCAGTGTGCAGAGTGGCCAGAAGCACACGTTCTGGAGTCCCACTGTCCGGCTTTAAACTCCAGCTCCATTGCTCACTGGCAGTGTGACCCTGCACAACTTAATCTATTTCGCCAGTGTGGCTCAGTTGGTTGGGCATCCTCCCATGCAAGGAGAGGTTGGTGATTGATTCCCGGTCAGGGCACATGCCTGGGCTGTGGGCTCGATCCCCAGTAGGGGGCGTGCAGGAGGCAGTAATCAATGTTTCTGTCTTTTCCCTTCCTTGCTCTCTAAAAATTAATAAATCAATAAACGATTCTTTAAGACAGAGAGAGAGAGAGAGAGAGAGAGAGAGAGAGAGAGAGAGAGAGAGAGAAGCTGGCCCACAAACAAAATGTGGTCTTCCTGGGGACTACAAACAAAAGTGCCCACAAACAAATGCAAGGGTTGATTCTTGCAGGGGAGAATATGAGTGAATGATTAGCTTAGAAGTCACCCAGAGTTCCTGGGCCAGAATCAGCTAAAGTCAGAGTGATCCAGGAGGCTGTTGGGATCCCTTCATAAAATACAAGGCACACAGAGGTTAAAGCTAAAAAGTGCCAACATGGAGACAACTTAGAAAGCATCCCTCTGAGGTCTCTAAAGGGTTACAATGGCCTCAGCCACTGAAACCAAAGGCTTCAGTACTTCAAATGAACAGACCTTTCTGGAAGAAACTCCTAGGTAACTGGGCCTGCAGAGACGGAATATAGAAACCAAGGGGGGGTCAGTGAGAGGAACTAGTCTAAGGTTCTACTTTTTGTCAGCACTGTGACCCTGGACAATTTCACTCGCTTTTCTAGGCAAGTATTAGACCAGTTGAGCAGTAATGGTTCCTTTCTCACGTTGGACCTAGTCCCAGATTTTCCCTGGAAAGCCGGGATGTGGCTGCATTCATCTGCCCTCTACTGATATGCAGGTAAGTGGACTACAATATGGTAATTGGACATTTAGATGGACATCAGGTTTATACACACATCCTCCTGCTCTCTGCTCTTCTGCAGTCCCATGATGCCTTGGAACCACCTTTGGAGAGCTGGGCATGACAGGCTAAAAATAGGGCCCATGACATAGGTGTTTGGACTGGGAGCAGACAAGAAGGATGAGAATATACTTTTGATGGGAGGTGAGGGGTGGGGATGGAAATTAGGAAAGTGCTGCAGATGCTAGGTAACAAGGAGAAGCAGCATATTGTAGTGTCCGAGTCTCAGTCCTAGAGCGAGGTAACCTGACCTGGGTCATCCACTCTATGCCTTGATGATGTTTCTGGATGTCTGAGAGCCTCAGTTTGCTCATCTTCAAAATGGAGATAAGAGCATCTGCCTCATAGGATTCCCAACATTGCATGAGACATTATAGGTAGTGTTTAGCTCATGTTTGATATGTACTAAATCAGCAGTTCTCAACCTGTGGGTTGCGACCCCTTTGGGGGTCGAACGACCCTTTCACAGGGGTCGCCTAAGACCATCGGAAAACACATATATAATTACATATTGTTTTTGTGATTAATCACTATGCTTTAATTATGTTCAATTTGTAACAATGAAAATACATCCTGCATATCAGATATTTACATTACGATTCATAACAGTAGCAAAATTACAGTTATGAAGTAGCAACGAAAATAATTTTATGGTTGGGGGTCACCACAACATGAGGAACTGTATTAAAGGGTCGCGGCATTAGGAAGGTTGAGAACCACTCTACTAAATGCTCTGAATGTGAGCTATCATTCTTACTAAACAGGATAATCATTCCAGAAATGTTTGCAGTAACACAAACGCTAAATGCTTTCCCTCAGTGACTTGCAGTTCTTTTTAAAAGGCATGTACTATCTCAGAACAGTAAAGAGGTCTGCCATTTCCCAGTGTGTATGCCGAGCTGGAAGGCAGCTGTCCTAGGTCCTTTCTCCTGTGCTTTCCACTAAACTAACTCATCCACTCACTTGGCTTCAGCTGCTTTTCAAATAACTCTCTCCAGACCTTATCCCTGAGCCCATTCAACACCTCCATTTGGATATCTCATAAGGAACCTAAAACTCAACATGTCTAAAACTCACCTTTCCATATAAATTGGGTTTTCCGCCAGTCTTCTCCATCTCAACAAATGGCATCCCATTGCCCAAAGTAAAAAATACATGATGGTCATTCTTGACCCCAAACTGTTCTTCATCCTTCCCACATGCAATACATCACCTCCTAGACACCATTCTACTCCATCTCCAGCAGCACCAACCGAATTCAAAGCCCAGCATCCACTTTTGCCTCTCGCCAATCAACATACACATCTGATCCAGATATTTGCTCCAGCCCCTGTTTACATTCCACTGGCTTCTCCTGGATCTGAGGAATTAAAACAAAACTCTAATCTTGACCTACAAGACCCAGCATCATCTGACACCCAACAACCTCTCCAGCCTCATCTCCTCACACTCTTGTAGTCCAGGCTCTAGTGACTATGGCCTTTCAATCCCTCAGGACTTTCTGCCTAAGCTGTTTGGTCCTACATTTGGCCAATGCCTTATCCTTCCGGTCTCAACTTAAATATCTCTTCCTCAAAAAGGACTTGCCTGCCTGGCCAGCGTGGCTCAGTGGTTGATTGTCGACCAAGAGGTCATGGGTTTGATTCCCGGTCAGGGCACATGCCCGGGTTGTGGGCTCAATCCCCAGTGGGGCTTGTAGGAGGCAGCCTATCAATGATTCTCTCTCACCATTGATGTTTCTCTCTATCCTTTTCCTTTCTCCTCTGAAATTAAAATATATTTTTTTAAAAAAAGGACTTGCCTGAGTGCAGATCAGTTTTATTTATTTATAGCCCCCAATCAGCTCCCTTATCACAACTATTAAATAGCTATACACGTCATAGCCTAACTAATGTCTCTCTTTCCCTACTCACACGGAAGCTGATGTCTGGGACAGCATCCATCGTGTTTACTACTGCTTTCCCAATGCCTGTCGTTGTGATAAACACAAAAGAGGCAATGAAGTATTTGTTGAATGAAACATAGTAGAAAAACAGAGCTAGAGGTTAAGATAAATTTGTCCATGGGTTCTTCCTCTGAACTCTTCCCCTTTATTTTCTGCCTTAAACTTGTATAAGATGAAATATTGAGTTGAACTTTTCTTATTGATTCATAGTCCCCAGTGGCCAGTTTCCTGGAGGTGGTAATCCGAAAAGTTGTTAGTAGTTGATATTTCTTGTCTCCGTCTATGTAACACTCCATTATTATTGTATCTCCCACAGAGACTAAAAGAACATACAATTTAAATGTTTGTTCCTTTAGCTGTTTCTGCTTGAATTACCCCTTTTCCTGCAGGGATCCCGAGATCTTTACTGTACCATTCATACGCCTTCTGAATTGCCTTGACAAAGAATCAGCTAAATCACTACTTCACATACCGACTTCCTCACCTCTTCTTGGATTTAGATCAAAGATTTCCTTCTCAGCAAGCTTCCCTGGCTTTTTGATCTAAAACTTCATCTTCCTCCCACCCCAACCCCCTGAATATTTCAAATCTCCCTTTCCTGCTTTTCCACCTTAGAACTTACCACTACCTATGCTATATTTCACTTAGCTTGTTTTATGTCTCTGTAACCAGAATGAAGCTCCTTGAGGGAAAGAATTTTTGTTTTATTCCTTTTATCATCAGCCTGACATCTTATATGCCCTCAAATATTAGTTGAATGAATGAGCAACCAACCAAATACTGCTCAGGACCAGAAAAGATACAGACAGAAAAACAGAAGCAGAGTCTAT